TGGTTATGGGAAGAGATTATATGTTCCTTAACCCTTAAAGTGCGCATCACTTCATATAAAGTGTAAATCGTTTTACCAGTCAACTGCGCTTCACTTCATATGAAGTGTATGGGTACCGCGCACGATTTGAATGGCCCGCGGTGTAGCTGGGGGTCCCATACGCTGCCCAGGGGCTCTAGTAAACAGCGGCCATTTTGAAAAAAATCCAGCTCACGCTCCGATGGCATGGGAGGCCTCAGTTTAGCGAGTCACCATGGCGAGCGCACGGTCAAACGCCTCACGAGCACGCATCACTCAGTCCCTCACCCCAGAGCAAATAGCCCACGAATTATTCTCTGAAGGTGAAGAAAGTGTGTTTGACGATTCAGACAACGATGAGGATTATACACAGTTGTCGGGAGATAGTAGCAGCAGCAGTGAAAGTGAGAATGACCGCCATGCCATGGCGAGGCCTATACGCTCTCCCATGCCTCCTCGCCCATTTTCTACCCCAATTCTACCACGACCTCACAGTTCCTGTGGATATTTTCTGTTTGAGGTTGACGAGTCAGAGGGAGGTGACTCCTTTTCTGGGTTTAGTGACTCAGATCAAAGTTTTATTGAGCCTGTGGCTGGTACCAGTGGTGTAACTGGGCGAGAAATTGTCGCGTCAGCAGCATCTCGCCCAGCCAAGCGCCACCGCATGGCACCAAGACCCTCGTGTTCACGTGCACCCACCTCACGTGCACGTAGCCGCCGTGCTTCTCGCAGACGGTATTCAGCTCCTGGTCGCCGGTATGCATCGCTTCCTCGCCATCTTTCCTCTGCATCTCGCAGGACGCCTGGTGTACTTGAGTGGAGTGATGGTGACGATTTTATTCCTAATATTCCTCACTTTGACGATAAAGATGTAGGGATTACAAACCTTTTCCCTAATCAAGGTGAGGACATGGCTGAGATGGAATATTTTACAGCATTCTATGATGAACCACTCATGGAATACATTGTACACCAAACGAACCTGCATGCTGCTTACCTGATTGAGAGGGAAATCACAGAATTTTCACGACTGCAGCGTTGGAAAAATACCACAGTGGCGGAAATGTATGTGTTTTTGGCACTCTGTTTGTTGATGAAGCACTGTCACAAACATGCAATAAATGACTATTGGAGCAAGGACAAGACAATACCAACACCTTTATTCGGGAAATATATGTCACGAGACAGGTTTCAGATACTCCTCAGGTGTCTACATTTTGGAAGTGTTCAGGACCGAACACCTGATGATAGACTGTGGCGAGTGAGGCACTACATGAACGATGTTATTGGAAAATTCAGAGATTTTTACGTACCAGCACAGAAGCTGGTGGTTGATGAATCTCTCATACTTTTCAAGGGACGTGTTCCATTCAAACAGTACATTCCCTCAAAACGAAACCGATTTGGCCTGAAATTTTTTGTTCTTTGTGATTGTGAGACAGGATACGTGTTACACATGATTCTGTACTCGGCTAGTGATGTAGACATTCCCGGTAACGACGAACATGGATTCTCGGGGAGTGTAGTGAAGACCATCATGGCTCCGTGGATGAACAAGGGACACATTTTATACACAGATAATTACTATACAAGTCCCTTGCTAGCTCGGTTCTTGCTAGAAAATAGAACCGGATTGGTTGGTACAGTAAAGCCACAACGAAGGGAAATGCCTGTGTTTGACAACGACATTGCAGTTGGTGAGTGTCAGAGAAGAAAAAGTGATAACATTCTGTCAGTTCGGTGGAAAGACAAAAGAGAGGTGAACTTGTTGACAACAATTCATGATGGAACAATGGTGAACAGTGGGAAAGTGAGCCATAAAACAAACGCACCACTATATAAGCCAGACTGTGTTTTAGACTATAATATCAACATGCGGTTGATTGATAAATCAGACATGATGATTGGCACTGCAGAGTGTGTGCGGAAGACATGTAGGTGGACGAAAAAAGTGTTCTTCCATCTTGTGGACATGAGCATGCTGAACTGTTTCAACATGTACCTTGTGAGAACTGGACGTAAGCCCACTTTCCGTGACTTTGTATTTGATGCTGCAATACAGTTATTAGGAAAGTTTGCAAAAGATGTCCCAGGTATTCAGCGGCCCATCATAAACCCACTGTTGCAGCATGCTGGTACTCCACGCCTCGCTCACACTGAAGGCTTCCTAGCACACAAACTTAAGTATTTGCCACCTGGTGTGAAGCGTGCAATAGCCCAACGTGATTGCTTGGTGTGTAAAACAACGACACGTAGAGACAAGAAACGGAAGCTTGTGCAAACATGGTGTGAAACGTGTGGTATCCCATTATGTGCTGTCGACTGCTTCAATGACTACCACAGTCTAGAAATCTTCTAAGTGTGCTTCAAAGTGTGTATAGCGTGTGCGAGTGTGTAAATATGTAAACATATAAGCAGAACATATAATATAATAGACTGTAATGACATATTATATTGCCGTAATTGAAAACATTTGTGTGCGCCTGTGTATACTCAAATATGCAACAATTATTGATACAAAATATGTTCAAACAGTATTTGAAACACAATTAGTGAAAAAAAATTAGATAAAATGCGCTTAGACATTGTAAATAAATAGCGCGAAAATATATTTGTGGCAACTCTGGCTGTTTGAGGACCGCGCGCAACATCTCCCGGGCGTGTACTGCATGAGCGACCATGCAGATTGTGACGTCATCGCAGAGCTTCTCGGCTCTATTGCAACAAAAGTAAGTACAATAGAATTTTTTTTTTATTTTTCCCGTGATCAGTGAACAGAACTTAACAGATTAGCAAAAAAAAAAAATTTTTTTTTTTTTCAAAATGACATGCGCCTGTGTGGATAGCAGGATATTAGACCCCGAGCATGTTAAGGGTTAATGGAGCCCTGTTGCTTATGCATCGTTAAACGCCTAGAAAGAGATGTTGTTGTCTTGCCTATATACTGGGTTTTTTGGAGCTTACAGTCCCCAAGTGGGCATTTGAAGGCATAGACGACGTTAGTCTCTTTTAAAGCGTTCTGTTTTGTGTCTGGAGAGTTTCTCATGAGTAGGCTGGCCGTTTTTCAGGTTTTATAGTAAATCGTCAGTTGTATCCTCTGATTTTTGTCTGTAGGGATAACGTTTCTATTAATAGAATAACGTTTCTGTTAATAACCAAACCATCGCCAGAGAAATCCTAGTAAACAACACAGAAATCATCGATAGATACAGCGATAGCAGGCGGCTTGACGTTTGCGAGGCACTACACATCAAGAAGTCAACACCAGCAATCAACAGCCAATTATTGCACAACTATATTCTACCCACCTCAAGACTCCGCTCCAATATAGAAGCATCAAGAAATATGGACCAATAGGCTTTCTACAAACACTTCTATTCAATACCCATTGTTTCTGTTCTGTCTTGTGTTGATACTTTTAATACCCTATTAATATCCCCTATTGTTCTGTCTTGTGTTAATGCCACATCACCCTTCCCACCTCACTCAAATGTAGATATAAAATCAGAGAAACGCAAGTTCTAATCAGTTGTGTATTTGTGAAGTCTTTGAAAATGTAATAAGTTTTACGAAACGCGCCCGTGTCGCGTCAGACTAGAAATAAAAATGAATTTTGGAGAAGTGATTTTTGATTTACCTCCAACAGTGAAGCGTAATGTACGAAAGATTGAGAAAATTCGTGTTAGAATTATTAATCTTACTTTTTCGGTCATATTTAATAATATATGTCTACAGGAAAGACTGCTACCAAAATATACTAACATTTTATTATATAAATATATCGTACTACACACTATTGAATAATATTACTGCAAAAAAAATAAGAAAAAATCAGACATTGAAATAATTAGGTAATAATATCTTTGTGGCAACTCCCACCTGACAGCTTGGGCGGAACAGACGTCCTCTGGCACTTGCTCTGTCAACACCTCTTTTTTGCCAGACTTCCCCACCCTATTTCGGCCAAAACTTGCCACCTACAATGTTTTTATTATGTTTCCTGTGCTCAGGGAACAAAAATGAACACTTTCATAAGACAAAATAATTTTTTTTCTTGCACCTGGCACTGTTGAAGACATTAAGGCCCAAAGCAGCACAAGGGGTTAAACACCAGCCAACTGTAGGGTGTATAGCCCCTAGTCTTCGTTCATACAGTAGGCACCCAGAACCATTAGCATTGTCAGCAAGTGACGTGTATGTCTGCCGATGGAAGAATAATCATGGAATTTACCATTTTTTAACTACAGCTGTATTGTTATATAAGATGACTCAGAAGATTGCTAATAGTGCTTTATTAGTGCCAAAAATGAGTCAATATTTTGCAAGAACTAGAAACAGAAAATCAACCAGCACAGCCGTACCCAGCACGAGCACAGCCGTACCCAGCACGAGCACAGCCGTACCCAGCACGAGCACAGCAGTAGCTAGCACCGGTACAACAGCAATGGAAGTAAACACAGCAACAGCAAACACCAACAAACCTGATGCAAAAATCTAAGAACATCGTGTGTGTGGAGTGTACAATTAGAAGAAGTGTTTAATTTAAGTACAATGTTAAGTGTTAAAATTAAGGTTGCTGTAATTTTAGTGTACAATAGCTTTCATAACCTGTATTGTACTACTGAGCATGCAGCACTGTACATATTTACTGTACAATATTCACAACTCCATGAGAATTCAAGATGGACATAACTCAAACAATAAGGTAAATAAAAACTAACTTTTTTAGTACAGTATAGTAATATATAGGTACAGTATATAATAAGATAATGCATTTTTATTGTTTACAAGAAAAACAAGTGAAACACCTCCTGAAGGTCACCTCTTGCAACAAATCCAACCCTGCAATGCACTAAGGTTGGTCCCATATAGTGCGTTGAATGGAGGTTGTACTGTATATGCTTTGAGCTGTTCCTAAATTGCTACCCCAAAATTAAATAATCCCTATCAGTTTTAAGCACCAGTAAAAAAAATGAACTTACTTCGTTGGAGCTGTTTCACATAGAAGGACATTTCAGCCACAAAACTCCTGCGATCAAGAAAAAAGCATAATTAGCATAATAAAAAAGCAGCATTTTGTATGAATGTAAAACTAAGGCATCAAAATGTAGTAAGGATTAGTAAAAATTAGTGTACTAAGTCATTACTTTACTGGAGCAATCAAGGAATTATTAAATACCTTTACAAACTTCTGTACTAATTGCATAGAGGCAAGGAACTTTTGTATACATGACAATATATACATAATGCATACACAGAAAACAACTTTTATTTGTATGCATATTTTCTCATGAGTAACAAAAACATATTAAGGGACCAAAAGTTTGTTTTGAAAGTTGTTCAATGTCAACAAATATTTTTTGACTAGTTGTATATGAAAAGGGCTGCAATTGCTCCAAGTTTCAGTACTGCAGCCTGAATAGAAAGGGAGATTTATTTTTTTTTCAACAAATATTACACGTTTTCAAGTGTGTATATACAACCACAGGTTTCAGATATAATCATTCTATGACACTTTTCTGGCACATTAGCATATAATACAGGATCTGAGGCAGAGGATTTTCCAAAACATATTTAGTTTTCCTAATACAAATAGTCAAAGTTCCCCCCCCCCCAAAAAAAAAATATGCAAATGTAACATGTTTATTGCTATTATAAAATCAATAAATAAACTTAGGAAAAAACACGGGCCCCAGATTTTATAGACAAACTTTACATATAAGGGGTAAGTTTCATGTAAATTGAATAAAAAATGAAAGTTATATGAACGTTTATGTTACTTGGAATAAATAATTAAAAAATAATGCCTGAGGTGCTGCCATCTGTGGCTGAGGTTGACATCAACCAATTTCCTCCAAAATTGGCACCCTTACAGATACGCTTACTTGCAGTCAGGTGTACAAGTTTCATGCAAATCGTCCAATAAATAAATAAGAAAAAAAAAATTATATTAATTTTTTAATAAAACTAATTATAATTTTTTTTTAATATATGCTATTGTGATATCTGAGAGTCATAGACATGATTTCAGTTGACACTTGTGTTTGATAATTGTTTTTGACCATTTTGGAAAATTTTTGACACGTAATTCAATATTTTTTTTCTCCCTTCCTATTTATGCTACGATGCCGAGACTTGGACCAGATGAAACCCTTTGCACATACAACTCGTCAAAAAAGTTTGATTGAAATCAAACAATTTAAAAAAAACGGTCTATTGGCCCCTTAAAATAGGGGTGGCAAGACGTGCAGATTTGTAATTCAAGACAGACACCACCTTTATTTATACTGCAGTATATAGTTAAGAGACTACAAACATTTGGATACAATCTGTGAAATATAATTAAAAACTTTGTAAATATTTAAGAGATATGCACAACTCTCAAGAACTGATTAGCTGTTTAACACCACTGAGATTTTGTTTAATCAAATTCATTCTGAAGAATTTCAAACAAAATCTGCTCTTACTAATATGTAAAGTATTATAATGTTAAATGTAAATAATGAACTTTACTACAATATCGTACTTCAAAACCATTCAACAGAATTCCCGAGCGCACACAGTTAATACATGAAGTATGGTTAGTACAAATTAGAAAAGTGGGATAAGTTGGTTGAAAAGGGGAAGGAAGACAGGTTCTATTGAAAAACTAAAATACTGTGTATTATTAGTCAAATGGGAAAGTATACTGGAGATGGAACGTTAGCCATACAAGACTAAATCAACAGACTCCCTCCGTTAGACCTGGCAAGGCATACCTCACCATCTTTTGGGTAACAAAAAATTAATATGAAAGTATTAGTCATCATTAGGGCTACTTGCCTAAGATGGAAAGCAAGATTAGTTTAATAATCATGAATTCAAGTGAATATAATGACACTCAAGATATTACACATTAATGATAAAAGCTAAATACAGTACAGTATTAAAAAGTGATTCATCTAAAAAAAAAAAAATCAAACAATGTATTCATGAATTAAAAAAAATGCAAACTTAAGCAGAATTTCTTCATATCATGTACAGTTGAAATGAGAAAAAAGTCACTGTACAAACTAAGGCTTTTAAATACTAGCTGCTAGAGAAATACATTGCTCACTGTCAATATCAGTCATTATGTTATGGGCAAAGCTAAGTACTATATTTAACCCTTAAACTGTGCAAAACCTCATATGATGTGACATTGAAGGGGGGTTATAATTTGAAAAATATTCGAATTCTGTAAAAATTACTTTAAAATGTTAAACAAATCTCCCACTTATTGGCTTCAGCTTCGTGAAACTTTCAAAATATTTTCAGAAATTGATTTTAGAAGAATATTAAAAAAAAGAACGTTTTGTTGATAGAGAACCCTTAAAATTAAGGGTTATGCAATAATAAAGAGATGCAAGCACCTGCCAGACGCACAAAGAAGAAAAGTAGTAAAAGTAGTGTCCACAAAGTGGATATACAGCTGGTGTCTTTATAGCATTGGTGAGTAATACATAACACAAATAATAATGAGTAATATGTTATATAACAAAATAGAGCATGATATCATATAAATACATTGTCCAATGTTTTTATAAGTTACTTTCAACAATGTCCAAAAACAAAATTGGGGGGGGGATTTTTTTTTAAGGTTTTTAGTTTTTTTCCTCCTTTGTTTATTATTTGAATTAGTTTTAACCTTTACATCCTGGAGAACGCATACTCGTCGCTAACTATGTGAAACCAAAATTAAATTGGTCAACAAATAAATCAGTCACAACTCTCAGAACTTGGGACTTTAAAGTTTTTTTTGGTTGATTTTTTCAAAGATTTCAAACTATTTTAGTTGTTTCTTTAGGTTGTTTTGTTAATTAGGGACCAGATTAGGGATTTTTTCTTATATAAAGTATACCCTAAATATATTCCTATATCATTATAATTATTATAATTATCCCAATATTTGTTTTTTTGGGGGGTTATTTTTTCTTGACTTCATTTCTACACACATTGACCTACAACTTTCACATACTTGAGTACGAATGCCAAACAATGTTCATTACAACATACAAATAAATTCATGAATTAGAACTGCCTTATTCATTGTCAATAACTTCAACTTTAATTATACTGTATCTTTAACTTGAATATCAACTTACTTCAGTAACCAAAAATCTAGTTTCTGACCGATTCTCACCATTTTTACATATAGTGTGCACAGCTGTCTGTTCTACAATGCTTATAGAATTGATTTTTCATAAACTCTAAATGGTTGGAGTTATAAATTATTGTTGTCTAAATTTGCACATATTTCAAATGCCATAATGACCAAAAAAAATTTACAGTAACCTATACTGAAAACCTATATTCTAAATATTTGAAAATGAAAATCATATGCTATTCTGAGAGCATAATAACACTATATGAACAAATGGTGATATTTTTGTTTTTGCAGCCAATTTCAAAATCAGAAGTTTTCAATATTCAATTTTAGTTATTTTTTTATTTTCTTGTTTTTGAAGTTACGCTGGTATCATTTAGACAAAGCTGAAGCATTTCCCCAGTAGATTATTCAGAAAACATTTGAAAGAATTTCAGAAAATTTTAAAAACTGAGTTCAGTGTCACACATCATGAGAGGTTTTGTGCAGTTTAAGGGTTAAAGCACAGCATCAGATCAGTATGGTGAGGGTAATGCTGAATGAAAACCTAAAGATAAACTACTAAAAACATAGCCGTTTTAAACACAGCCAACTGAGGGAGGTGTACCCAGTACAGTAAATCATCTGCAAACCTCACAGTTTCCTGCCTCGCTTTCACTGCAACCCTATTTTCTACTGACACACACACTCTAACTTGGGCCAGTACCTCCCCTGGTTTCCCAACTTCCTTTTTCCAAACTTGTGAATCCACTTTTTGTGGGGGACATTATTAAGGTGTCACTGGTCTAGTTGCCAAAACTGCTGTCCTTGAACATTTGAGACCACATTCGTCAATTTCCAGATTTCTGGGAATCTATTGTTTTGTTGTCAATACTAGTTAATGGATGGTAAAGTGCCTTTGCAGCCTCCTTGAGCAGCCATGGTGGTATCAAGTCTGGTCCTACTGCCTTTGTTGCTTTTAGTTCATCCAGTTGACTTTTTACCATATCTGTGCCTAATATATTACCTAATGGTGGAATGTGGAGATGCACATGACAAAGAAAAGAAGAATTTGTACTGAGTAAGGATGGTCAGTAAGTGGAATGTACTAATAGTATTAGGTAATTACTGCACTTAGTTGAATATACTATTTAACAATGAAATTAAGATTAGTTTTAAAATGAAGCTCAAGTATTAAAGGTCTTATATTAATATAGTGAGGTACTTTATATACTGAATGGAAACCTGTCATAAAATAATATACACACACACACCCTTAAATGTATCCATACTGAAACTTTACTAAAAATACAAAAGGCCATTTGCAGCTAGTCATGATCAACATAGGAAGAAAAACTTACCTAATTACTATGCAATTTTTTCATAATAAATTTATTTTAGTAATTGCTTCTAGGAACCTATAATACCCCCCCTTATCAAATAACATTTAGTTCTATCAAATTTTTTTTATAAATTTCAAGTCAATAAGAATCATTGTAAAGATATCACAAATATGCACACAGTTCTATGCCATTTAATTATAATTAAGCAATCCCAAGTAAACAAACACCAGGTTTTATCAGCAAGTTCAGTAACTTAGTGTATCTTTCCTGTGCTTTCTAGTAGGCAAGAGTGTGCATTTATTAAAGTTTCCAATATTATTTTCCTGGGCTGGCCACTCAGTAGCTACCATCAGCTTGTTACTCGCACATTAGAAATGCACTCAATGCACCTAGCTGCTATGACCATCTCGACTAACTGGACACAAAAGTGCCTTTTGGCAGGCAGCACATGGGAATTGGAGATCAACCCACTTCCAAAGCAAACAGTTTGGTGATTTATAAGTCACAATGACATCCAACCTCAACTGAGCAATATTTGATAATTGTCCAAAAAAATTTGGAAGCCAATCATAGTTATCTGAA